GGGCCAGGGGCACAGTGGGGACTAGGAGTGCCCCACTCAGAATCCGGGCCGGGGTCAGGGTTCCTGCTCATCCCCGGTCCCCACCCCGCGCGGGCCAGTACAAAGCTCCCTTTCTCTCTTTCCCCCAGTTTGGGGGTATTTTTAGCCACTAAGGAGGATTATCAGTCTGGCTCCCAGGTGGCAGGGGCAGAGCTGGGAATGGGGCCAGGGAGGCTTCAGGCTGCAGCAGGGCTCGGGGGCGGGTGGGGTGACAGGAGAATAAAGGCTTCGGGCCGGTCACGTTGGCCCGGCCACCCACCCACCCAGCGACTCTCCAAATGACCCCGCGAGGCTGCTCCGGCCAGGCCCGCCTGAACACATTAGCGGCAGCTGTAAGGGAAGTCTGACCGGGCAGCGTGAGGCGCTTTGGATGCCAGGAACCTGGGTCCTAAGGGGCCGGGAGGAACCACGTAGAATCCACTGCAGGCCAGCGCCCCTCCTTTCCAGAACATTCTCCTCTCTACTGGTAAACATCATGGCCACTAAATTGTACTTAGCGCTCACTCCACCCTGGGAGTCATTCCCCACCCCTCCATGAGGCAGGGGAGCTATGGTTGGTTTCATTTCACCAAAGAGGAAACCAAGGCACAAATAGGCCAGGTCACTTCCCCAAGGTCACGTGAGTGGGTAAAGAGGTGAGGCAGGGCCAGTCGCAATGCCAGCGCGGAGTGTTTATGAACTGCCCGACCACTGCCCGGGACCCACTGGGGGAGGCCAAGGGCCTTGGGTGTATCCTTCCACACCGTGGTGTGCGCAAGTCACGGTGAGCTTAGCGGACAGGGGAGAGCACACAAGAGGAGGCCTCTGTTGATGTCCCCCGCCTCAAGGCCCACCATTCACTGGCTGACACCCTGCTCCAACCATACCATGTAATGTCACCCATCCCAGCCTTCGCCAATACTGGCCTCTGCCTAGAATACTTGTTTATGGCACCATGCTGGGTGCTGAGGACGCAAATGGTGGGGAAAGGGAACAAGGTCTCTGCCCTCAGAGGGCTTACATGCTTCCTTTGTCTGTTTGGCAAACTCCTATGCATCCTTCAAAACCCAGCTCAGTTGTCACTTCCTCCTGGAGGTATGCCATGATTACCCTGCCTTGGATCCATTGAAAGCATCCTCCCCCAGCCCTCCCTTGCTCACTGTGCTGTTGGGAGCCAGCCAGGCAGTAGCACGACCAGTCTCAAGTTCTAGTCCCCTCAAGTTGATGCAAGCCCAACCCTTCTTGAGTAGGCCAGAAAGGGGAACAGAAATGCACTCTCCAAACCTGGGGGGCCCTCCAAGGGAGCTTTGGGCTGGTAATTCCTGCCTACAGAGGTCTTGGCCCCAGAAGTCCTACCCTCTTGCTAGCCTGTCTCCGTCTCTTGAGGCATAAATAAGAGATGCTGTGGTTTGCGAAGAGAACACATTGTGGAGCCCATCAAACTGGCCAGAGTCCCGGGTTCCAATGCTTCAAACCCCGGGAGCCTCAATATCTTCACCCATTAGTGGGACAGGTGCCCTCCCTGAAGCGTGATCAAGCAGCCCAGAGCCCCCCGCACCTGGAACATTTGGGGCCAGGCCTGGCACAGGGGAGGGGTGCAGGTGCAGCTGTAACCAGGTGCCCCTGGCCAGCAAGGCCCAGACTTCTCTTCCCAAGAGGAGGGGAGAGAATGAGGCCTAGGGTTGTATTCCTCAATTTTCAGTTGTTCTCTGAAAATTTCATTCCCTGTGACGCTGTCTCCCTGGGCCTCAGCTGCCCCATCTGAAACATGGGTACAGCCAGATGCACTTCCTGTTTTACCAGGCTATTGTGAGATCCTGTCTCAAAAGACAAAAAACACTACATCCTGTTGTACACCATAACTATATACAATTATTTATTTATTTTAGAGACAGGCTCTCTCTCTGTTGCCTGGGCTAGAGTGCAGTGGCATCATCATAGCTCACTGCAGCCTCAAGTGATCCTCCTGCCTCAGCCTCCTGAGTAGCTGGGACTACAGGTGTGCACCACTGCGACTGGCTAGATTTTTTTTTAATTTTTTGTAGAGAGAGGGTCTTGCTATGTTGCCCAGGCTGGTCCTGAACTCCTGGCCTCAAGCGATCCTCCCACCTCAGCCTTCCAAGATGCTGGGATTACAGGCGTGAGCCACTGTGTCTCGCTCCTTTCCTGAGGGCGTTCAACTCTTGCAGGGGCCCTACCTCCAAAGTGTCTCTGGAAACCCACTCGTTGTATGGGAACCAACACCCTGGGGCTTCCCATCTCACACAATAAAACCAAGGGGCAACAGAACCCCCAGACTCCACTGGTGGGAGTGTAAAACGGTGCGGCCACCCAGGAAAACAGTTTGGTTGTTGCTTATAAAGTTAAACATGCAACCACCATATGACCCAGAGAAATGAAAACTCTGTTCACACAAGACGCATCTGTGACCGTTCAGAGCATTTGGAAGTATCCCAAATGCCCATCAACAAGCCATGATGAGCCAATTGCGGTGCATTCACACACTACATACAATGTGACAATAAAAAAAGAATGTCAAGCTACGAACAGATGCAATAACGTGGCCGAAACCCAAAAAAACATTCCACAGCGAGAGAAGCCAGGCCCGAAGAAACAGCATGAAATTCCATTTATATGAAGTTCTAGAAGTGGCAAAACTAAGCTAGGATGACAAAAAAATTCAAAAGGAACAGAAATTAACTTTGGATGACTGAGTTGGGGGTGGACCAGCCAGGGGCGGGAGGGAACTTTCCGGAAGGTGCGTTTGTGGTAGGAGATTAGGTTAGCTAGGTGTGTGGATGTGTCCAAACTTACCAACTGTGCACTTAAGATTTATGCATTTCACTTGGGTAAATTTTAACTCGAAAGAAAAAAAAATAAGCAAATATCGAACCCTAGTTAATGGTCTGCATGCTGAAGTGTTCAGAGGTGGTGTGGCTTGCTGCCTGCTTTGAAATGGATACAAAAATCAGATGGGCTGATGAGTGGAGGGAGGGAGGGAGGGAGGGATGGATGGATGGATGGATGGATGGATGGATGGATGGGTAGGTGTTCCCTCCCTCCCCCCTCACTCACTCTGCTGGAGCCACAGGGGCCTCCTTGCTGGTCTTCCAACACTCCAAGCTCCGTCTGGCCTCAGGGCCTTTGCACCTGATGCAAATTTCTCTGGAAAGCTCCTCCCCCAAGCCCCACCTCCTTCTACACAAACCCAAGACCTCCTCATCTTTCAGTCTCAGATGGTACTTCCCTAGAGAGGCCTTTCTTGATCACATTTATTTGTGTATTTTTTAGAGACAGAGTCTTACTCTGTTGCCCAGACCGGAGTGCAGTGGTACGATCATAGCTCCCTGCAGCCTGAAACTCCTGGGCTCAAGTGATCCTCCTGCCTCAGCCTGCCAAGTAGCAGGCGTACAGGTGTGCACACCACCACGCCCGGCGAATTACCTTGATCACATTTGAAATCACAACACCCTGTTTGTTTTCTACCAGGTCCCATTACACGCTAGTATCTCATTTATTTGGGAATCTGTTTACTCGTCTGTTGTCTGCCTTCTCTGCGGGGTTCTGAGCTCCACAGGGACAGGAAGGTGCTCTGCTGTGTCCCCAAGGCCCAGTCCCAACCTGGCATGTACAAGTCAATCGGGGAACATCTCTTGCCTGGATGGATGGATGGGTGATGGATGGAGACTTAGCTCGAGATCTCAGGAAAGGGGGCAGCTGTCTGGGCTCCTCGAGCAGGCTCGGGCGCCGCAGGCTGGAGCCGCCTCCCAGGCCGCCGTTGGCGGGAAGCTGCCCTACCTTGGCCTCTGCTCGGTCATCGGGCAAGCTCGGTCGTGCGACAGGCTCTCTTACCCACCCATAGCCCCGCCTCTGGGACAGCCAGCGAGACCACCGACGTTCCTACCTAAAGGGGAGTCTGCCTGCCAAAGGAGGGCCAGGAAGGGCATTCCAGATTTCTTTGAGCCCTCCATCTTTGGGTTGCGTCACAGGCAGCTTCCTGCAGTGGAAGGAAGGCTTCCTGGACGTTTGAGGACTCAAGTTCCTAAACCCCAAGCAACCACTCCCTTGACTTCTGAATACCATTTTGGCGTCTGCAAAGTACAGAATAATAATTATTGCTTTGAGCTGTATGGTTCCACCCTTCTTTTTCTTTCTTTCTTTTTTTTTTTTTTTTTGAGACAGAGTCTTGCTCTGTTGCCCGGGCTAGAGTGCCGTGGCGTCAGCCTAGCTCACAGCAACCTCAGCCTCCTGGGCTCAAGCGATCCTCCTGCCTCAGCCTCCCCAGTAGCTGGGACTACAGGCACGCGCCACCATGGCCGGATAATTTCTTTCTATTTTTAGTAGAGACGGGGTCTTGCTCTTGCTCAGGCTGGTCTCGAACTCCTGAGCTCAAACGATCCTCCCGCCTCAGCCTCCCAGAGTGCTAGGATTACAGGCGTGAGCCACCGTGCCTGGCCGCCGCCCTTCTTAAAAAATCACGAGGCTAAGCACTGTGTGCGCCTTACCAGGCTGGGCTGAGAGGTGGGTATTGCTGTTCCTGTTTTACAGGTGAACTTGAGGTTCAGGAGAGGTCTGGCCATCTGCCTGAGGACACACAGCCCACATCTGCCTTGAATGTTGGCCATAAAATAAATGCTTTGCCGGGCAATGGAGGGGGTGAGGGTGGGGTGGTCGCCAAGGCCCTGCCCTTCTGCTCCAGTGTCCCTGGCAGAAGGAGGTGGGTCTTCCAGCCCCACCTCTTGGTTGTCAAAGGAGCTGATGGTGGTGGAGGAGGAATTCCGTGGCTCCTGCCTCTTGCCCCGCCCGCCCCATCTGCAGGGCTCCCCGCTAACTGGAATGTGTGTGTGTCTGCAGGATGTTGTCCACCTTCAACGAGTGGCTTTGGCAGGACAGGTTCTGGTTACCGCCCAACACGTCGTGGGCCCAGTTGGAGGACAGGGATGGCCTGGTCTACGCCCACCCCCGGGACATGCTGGCGGCCCTGCCCCTGGCTCTGGTCCTACTGGCCCTGCGCATCACCTTTGAGAGGTGAGTATCTGTGTGCCACAGCCAGTCACCCCTGTTGTCGTTCGTGGGTGCGCTCCTGCCCCGTGCACACTTTGCCTTCTGAATGTGTCCCCGGTGGCTTTGTATCAAAGCACTTTTCCCAGGTCCAGCCTGCCCTCACTGCCGCCACCCGCACTTCTGGTCTGTGATTGCTGGTTTATGGGAACCTTGGCCACAGCTCGGGGGTGGGTGTGCTGGCATCTTCATAAAGCAGGTGGGACCCTGGAGGACATAGGCCCACCTCGCTGACCAAGGCGCAGCCTGCAGAGGCCAGACGTGGTTGACGAGTAGAGAAGCCCCTGCCCCCTCCCTCCTGCCTGGAAGCAAAGCCTTGGGGACCTCCTCCCTTTGTCTCCTGGGGATAAGTCTCTCCAAATCCCCCACTTTTGGCTCCTCCTGACACCTTCCCTCGATCCGGCCCCCTTTTTTCTTTAGAGACAGTCTCACTCTGTCGCCCAGGCTAAAGTGCAGTGGCGTCATCATAGCTCACTGTAGCCTACAACTCCTGGGCTCAAGCGATCCTCCTGCCTCAGCCTCCCAAGCAGCTGGGACTACAGGTGCAGCCACCAAGCCTGGCTAATTTTTAAATTTTTGTTGCAGAGATGGGGTCTCGCTCTGTTGCCCAGGCTGGTCTCGAACTCCTGAGCTCAAGTGATCCTCCTGCCTCGGCCTCCCAAAGTGCTGGGATTACAGGCATGAGCCGCCATGCCCGGCCTGGCCTCCCCTTTCATCCTCCCCATTCACCTCCAGCCCCCTGCAGCCTTGCTTCCCATTCCCCAGGTACGCACGTGCCCCCTGCCCAGGTTCTCAGTGCCCTCCCAGTTGCCAAACCCTGTGAATTTTCAGCCGTTTCTCATGTGATCCCGACACCATGCAGAACCAGGTTTCCTCCTCTCTCTCGGGGTCTCTCTTCTGGCTGAGATTCTCCTCCCGCAGTGTGGGCATCTCTCCTGGGGCTCCTTCCCTCTGTGCCAGGTGGCTCTGCCCTCTCCCATGTGGACCGCTGCTGTGGTCACGGCTCCCAGACCTGCCTTGTCAGGGCCCTTTCCTGCCTTAGACCCCGCCCGACTGCCCACTACCCTCAGCTGCCCTCCCCCAGTGCCTGCCGCCCCCGACAATCACCCATCTGAAGTTACATTGATTTAACCGACTCCCTTTTGAGGGTTTACTCTTCGCCAAGCATGGCTCGAAGCAGTTTACGTGTCTTAACTCCCTGATGCAACCCCAAGCAGTGGTGCTATTATGATCCCCATTTTATAGAAGAGGAAACACAGACACAGAGAGGTCGAGTGACTTATCCAAGGTCACACAGCAGGGCAGGTTGCATATTTAAGTGATAGCCTTATCTGAGGCTGGGTGTTATCACATTCCAAAAACATCCTGTGCCTCTGTGAAGGACAGGGGTGGGGCTGGGCATAGCCTTTCCCACTTACATAGGATTTGTTTTAAAAAGAAAAAAAAGTGAATCCTGGCTGGACATGGTGGCTCACACCTGTAATCCTAGCACTCTGGGAGGCCGAGGCTGGAGGATCCCTTGAGGTCAAGAGTTTGAGACCCCATCTCTACAAAAAATAGAAAAATTAGCTCTGTGTGGTGGCATGCACCTGTAGTCCCAGCTACTTGGGAGGCTGAGGCAGGAGGATCACTTCAGCTCAGGAGTTGGAGGCTGCAGTGAACTATGACAATGCCACTGCACTCCAGCCTGGGTGGCAGAGTGAGACTCTGGTCTCACACACACACACAAAAAAAGTGAATCCTAATTTTGCGACTCACGGTTGATAGGAAATTTGGTCCCCACCTGTGGGCTCTAGGGCCCCCCCTTGTGGCCAATGTGGTGATTGCCAGGGTGCCTGCTCCAAGTCCCCACCCCAGAGTTTGGGGGGATTATGAGAGGGAGCAGATCCTACCCCCTGCCCATGGAGAGCTCCCAGCCTGGTAGGGGACAGATCAGGACAAAGGCCACCATGAGACAGGCAGTGAGGGGACTCTCATGCCTGATTTGGGATTGGGTGAAAGTGCCTGGGTACCCCTCGAGTCGGCCTGCACACCCCCATCCTGAAGACAGGTCCAGCTGTCTGGGAGGTGAGGCCCCGCCCCTCCCACCCCAGGACTGCGCACCCCGGTCCCCAAGACAGGCCCAGCTGCCTTTCTCTGGTCCTGGCAACAGCCATGCTACCCCTCAAAGGAACCAGGGTGCAAGGCCAGGAATAGCAATGGAAAGTTCTGGGTCCTACCCCATGAGCTTTTGCCTCTGGGCCTCCAAACCCTCTGCTCAGGTGGAGAAAACAGACCCCCAGGTGTTACATACCCTGCCACGTGCGGACTGTGTTCCCTTGGCCCATAACTTGGCCCCTCCAAGACTCGGTTGCCCCACCTATAAAAGGGTCCCATACATACACAGTCCTGTCCCTTCTCACCTGGCTTGGTGGGCTCCGTCTCCCTTGCTCCCAGGTTTGTTGGCCTGCCCCTGAGCCGGTTGCTGGGTGTGCGGGATCAGACCAGGAGGCCAGTGAAGCCAAACGCCACGCTGGAGAGACACTTCCTCACAGAAGGGCCAAGACCCAAGGAGGTGAGAGCTCCTCTCCCCTATCCCCGTGGACCAGCAGGGCTGCCTGGGGATGGGGCCTGGGGATGGTCTGTGGCCCACTTGTTGGGGCAGAGGAAGTCATGGTGGCCTCTGGCACCCTCACAGTGCCCCCCACTCTCCACTCTACCTGGGTCCCCAGCTTCCCCAAAGATGGGTCCCGCCCCTCCCAGCCTCCCTGGGAGATGAGGCCCTGCCCCTTCCACCTCTCTGGGAGATGAGGTCCCGCCCCTCCCAGCCTCCCTGAGATGAGGCCCCGCCCTTTCCACCTCTCTAGGAGATTAGGCCCCGCCCCTCCCAGCCTCCCTGAGATGAGGCCCCGCCCTTTCCACCTCTCTGGGAGATGAGGTCCCGCCCCTCCCAGCCTCCCTGAGATGAGGCCCCGCCCCTTCCACCTCTCTGGGAGATTAGGCCCCACCTCTCCCCTCCTCTCTAGGAGATTAGGCCCCGCCCCTCCCAGCCTCCCTGGGAGGTGAGGCCCCACACCTCTTGGCCCCCCTGATCATCAGGGGACACAGCTGCCCAATGGACAGATTCTGGGACTGCGGTAGGAGCAGTTTTCTCTCCCATTCTGGGGAGGAACAGAAAGCCTGACTGTTCTGGGGAGGGGAGGGGAGAAGGGTGGGTGGACAATGGCAGCCCTGTGGCCCTCCCTCCACTCCCATCCGTGGTGTGGCTGCCGGTCGGGCAGAGTCTGGGCTGTGGAGGTACCAGGCTGGGTCCCGACCCAGGCGGGGAATGGCGAAGATCCCATACCCTGGGGGCACAGGGCAGCCTCTGCAGAGCGATTCCCCCTCCCTCGTCAATCTCCCTCTGCAGGTAGGGCTGGGGTGGGGAGCAAGCTCTCAACTGCCTGCCTGGGGTGGGATGAGACCTGACTCTTCAGGAGGGGTGCAGGGAAGCCTCCTGGTGGGGGCTGCACCCAGTGTCCTTCTTAATCCCATTCCTCATCAGCGACCTGCCTGCCCAGCAAACAGGGCTTAGTTCTCATAAGGCCCAAGTATTCTACGGGGACCCCCACCCTGTGACACCCCCACACTCCCTCTCCATAGTAGACATGGCTACCCTACAGGCAAGACCTGGGGCTGCAGGGGAGGGGAGAGCAGAGCCGAGTCCTGCCTGTCTGGAGACAGGGGTGGGAAACCACCACGGGGCCTCTGTGACCTCAGCCCCCGTGGCCCCCTCCCCAGCCCCAGCTGACCCTCCTGGCCGCCCAGTGTGGCCTCACGCTGCGGCAGACCCAGCGCTGGTTCCGGAGACGCCGGAACCAGGATCGGCCCCGCCTGACCAAGAAGTTCTGCGAGGCCAGGTGAGGCCAGGGTGGGGCTGGAGGGGGCGATCCTGGGGTGCGGGGCAGCGGGGTGGGGGCGGGGGCTGCCCTTTTGATAGCTCTTCACGGGCTTCCTCCCTGCCTGCAGCTGGAGGTTTGTCTTCTATCTGTGTGCCTTTGTCGGTGGCTTCTCGGTCCTATACCACGTGAGTATACCTGACTGCTCACCTGTCCCATCCACTTGTCCCACAGGCACCCGCTGTGATCCGGGCCTGGATCTGGGCAGGGGCAGGGGTGTGGGTCTGTGTACGGAGAAGGTAGAGCCAGAAAGGAAGAAATCTATGTGCAACGGCAGAGGGGAGAGAGCTTGGCAAGGTCACGGTGAACGTTCACTCGGCAGGCACCCAGTGAGGACCAGCTGTCACCACGCACTGGGGGCTCTGCAGCGAGTGAGCCCCCAATCGAGAGTCCAAGGCAGAGCTATAACCAGGCAGGAAGGAGCAAGGCTGAGTGAAAGCAACCGTATGAGGCCGTGGAAGCCCCGAAGATGCCCCAGACTGAGGGTGGGAGGCTGCATTCTGACCCTTGCGCAGCCTGAGACACCTGTTTCCCTGCAGGAGTCGTGGTTGTGGACACCGGCAAGGTGCTGGGACAATTACCCAAACCAGGTGAGTGGCAAAGGGTGCACGGAGGCTCGGGGGTTTTCGGGTTGTTTGGGTTTCTTGCGGCCCCGGTTGCAGGGGCCAACCCCGGCCTTTCCGTTTTATTTCCCTTTTGGTTCCCCTTTTTTGCTTTTTTTTGCTTCTTGGTTGGAGGGCGGGGGGGCCAGGGGTTCGGGAATGTCGGGGCGGGACTTGTTCCAAAACCACTGCCCTTGATTACCTCCAGGGATGGGGAGCTCACTCACGGAGATTCAGTTGTCCTGGTTTTGAGCGTACACAGAGGGCCCTGAGCCATGCCCCGGCCTGGTCGGAGCCTTCATGCCCCACAGCTAACCTTGCCCTGCCCCACCACAGACCCTGAAGCTGGCCCTGTACTGGTGGTACATCCTGGAACTGGGTTTCTACATCTCGCTGCTAATCACACTGCCCTTTGATGTCAAGCGCAAGGTGAGGCCAGGGCAAGAGTCTGGCTAGGGGAGTGACACCACGGAGGAGTCGCGACCCAGTTTCTGGACAGGGAGCTGGGGTGGGGAGGAGTGGCCTCAAAACCACACCCGGAGATCCCCTGGGTGCCTTTGGCAGGAGGCATAGAGTCTGTGGGGCCGAGGCCCTCTCCAGCCACCGAGCCTGGCCCTCTGTGACCCACCATCTCCCATAGGATTTCAAGGAGCAGGTGATACATCACTTCGTGACCATCCTCCTGATGACATTCTCCTACAGCTCGAACCTGCTACGCATCGGCTCTCTGGTGCTGCTGCTGCACGACTCCAGCGACTACCTGCTGGAGGTGGGCGCGGCCTCTCCATGACCCCCTCCCAGCCGCCCCGCACAGCCCTCCCTGGTGCACCTGCAGATGAGGTCCCGCCCCTACCAGTCTGAGTGGGAGGGGAGGCCCCACCCCTTTCAGTCTAACTGGAGGAGGCCCCACCCTCAGCATCCCCAGAGATGAAGTCCCACCCCTCTCAGCTCTCCTAGGAGATGAAGCTCCGCCCCTCCTTCCTGGGAGGATGAGGCCACGTCTACTCGGTTTGACTGGGTGATGAGGCCCCACCTCCTAGCCCCGCCCCCTCCTTCCCAGAGATGAAGTCCAGCCTTTCTTAGCCTTGGTAAAGTTCTACCTCCACACACACCCCACCCCACCTCCACCTTTCAAGGCATTTCCTGGAGACAAGGTACCAACTCACCTCCTCCCTCCCCATAGCCCTTTTCCATCAGAGATGCCCCCTCTCCCCTGGCCCCACCCCTCCCACCTGGTCCCTGGTCCTGAGCCCGTGTCTCCTGCTGCCCTCCCCAGGCCTGTAAGATGTTCAACTACACGCGCTTCCGGCTCGTGTGCGACGCCCTCTTCATCATCTTCTCCCTGGTCTTCTTCTACACCCGCCTGGTGCTCTTCCCCACCCAGTGAGTCGGCCCTCCCGTGGAGGGGTCGGGGAGGTTGGCACCCTGCCCCAGGTTGCCGGGGGTATCGGCTGGGAGACTTCCAGGAAGAGGCAGGGAAGGGTGTGCCTGGCCCAGGGCACAGCATATGCAAAGGCCCAGAGGTGAGGGCGACAACTAGGCACAGTCCTCGTTACCCAGCGTGCCGGGAACATGGAGAGAGAGGAGGGGTCAGGGTTGCCAGCTCACTAAAGTCTTTGCCCCATAAATATTTGTTGAACCTCTTGAATGTGCCAGGTGCTGGGGACACAGCAGAGGTAGCAGCCCACAGATCCCTGACTTTGTGAAGCTGTCATTACGTGGGTGGGGGCAGCTGGACAGTGAAGCAGACAGAGCATGAGAAGTGGGGAGGGGGTAATTCAAATTGGAGGGAGGCGAGGAAGGGAACCCATGCTGACCATAGGGGAACAGTGTTCCAGGCAGAGGAACAGCACATGCGAAGCCCCTGAGACTAGACTGTGCCCCACATGGGCTAAGAACATCGAGGAGACCTGTGTGGCTGGAGCAGAGCTAGAGAGGGGGAGGAGGGAACAGAAGGGAGGGGACGGGGCAGGTTGTGCAGGGCCTTGGGGGCTGCAAGGAGACTTGGGCTTTGACCCCAAGGGAGGCGGGAGCTGTGGGCAGAGAGGCAGGTACAGGACCTGACTCAGGTGCTCACGGGTGCCCTCTGGTGGCTGCAGGGAGAACAGATTGAGGGACAGGCAGGAGGAGCAGGGGACCCGGTACAGGGAAGAGGAGGGTGCCCCCAGGGCCAGGAGATGGGATCAAGCCCAGTAAGTGCTGGATGAAGCATCCGGAGCTCAGCTGTGCTGGGTTTGAGGGGCCCGTGCTCCCTGCCCCCGAGGAGGCGGTGGGCACACCAGGCTGGAACTCTCGGGAGAGAAGTGCATATAAGAGTCGCCAGCCCCCGACTGGTGTTTGCAGCTGTGAGCCCAGATGGGGTCACTTGGGGACCAGGTGTGCCAGAGGGGGCCATCCTGGGCCCCCCTTGCTGTTTGCAGATAGAGCAGGAACCTGCTGCCCCTGTCCCTGGGGGCTAAGCACTCCGGAATGAGTAAGGCGAGGTCACCGGCTACCTTACAGTAGATTAGGGGACAGAGAGGGTGTCACTGCTGCTACAGCCCCATCTTTCCAGGCATTTCAAGAGGAAAGTAGGGGCAGGGGAGGTGTTTGAGAACATTCTTTGCAGCTGATGGAGGAGGTAGTCACCTGCTGGGGGAGGGGGCAGGGGGTCTAAGGAAGGGAAGGGAGGGGTGAAAGGACCACCCAGGGGAGTAGCCAAGGTACTAAGCCCCCCCTCGGGGTTCACGGTGGTGAATAGCTTGTTTTAGTATAAGCAGATGAGAGGGGTACCTTGCACGCCCAGCTGAAAACCATAGAGGGCACTGGGGAGTCATAGAAGGTTCCAGAGCAGGCGAGGCCATGTGAGTTGGAGGCTCCGGCGGCTGGTGGAGCCCTCCATCCTTCCGGCTGTAGGATCCTCTACACCACATACTACGACTCCATGGTGAACCGGAGCCCCTTCTTCGGCTACTACTTCTTCAACGCGCTGCTGGTGGCGCTGCAGCTGCTCCACGTGTTCTGGTCGGGCCTCATCCTGCGCATGCTCTATAGCTTTGCAAAGAAGGGCCAGGTACGGCCGGGCAGGGGGCGGCTGGGGCGTGTGCCTCTCGCCTGGGTCCCCAGCCCAGCCCCGCCGCCAAGCTCCTGCCTGCTCCACGCTTCCTCTTCCTCCCTCCCCTTTCCCCAGATGCAGAAGGACGTGCGCAGCGACGTGGAGTCGTCAGACTCGGAGGAGGAGGAGGAGAAGGAGGCAGCTCGGGAATGTCCGCGGCTCAAGAACGGGGCAGTTCGAGGGCCCGGGGCAGCCCCCGCTGACGGCCCTCGGAGCCGGGTGGCCGGGCGGCTGGCCAACGGGCACACGCCGGCCACATAGCCACTGGCCGAGAGGGGCTGCCTGGACTGGTGGCCCTTGGGCCAGCTCTATGGAGACAGGGAGAGCCCCACCCGGCGAGGGCCGGGAGGGCCAGTGATCTGTCTCCAGCCCTTTCCTTCTGCCCGTCCTCCCTCCCTCCTTCCCTCTGGGCAGCTGAACTGAGCCGAAAGGCAGGAGCCCCAGGCCGAAAGGGGTAAAATAAAACTTGAACGGAGCCGAATTCTCTGCATGAGAACCTGGGTCCCTCCTTCTCCATCCCTGGAGACCCTTGAGGGAGCCCAGCCTCTGTGTACATACCCCGATGATGGGATACTCACTGCCACCCAAGCAAGGATGCGCACCCACTCCGGGGCCCCAGACAGCAGCAAGGCACAGAGATCCCCCCTGCACCCAGGGGAGTCCCTGGCTCCCCAGCCGGCGCCTTAGACAAGCCACCTCCCTCCACCCCAGGGCAGCCCCTGGTCAGCACCGCGCAGACCAGGCTTGCAGAGGAGCTACTGAGCTCACAAAGTGCAAGTCCTCGGCCCAAGATCACACAGAGGTCATGGACTAAGCAGGAGGGGAGGCCCATGCCTTTCCCTGCAGCCTCCTCAAGATCAGTGAGAACCCCACCCTTGTGGTCCACCGGAGCCTCTCTGGGGACACTGCAGGGGATGAGGGTAAAATCCTACAGGCTTCCCAAGGGTCACTCTGGAAGAGATGGGGACAAGGGGGTCACCCAATATCACATACATTACTGGGGAGAGTCTAAATTGTTACAGTCACTTTGGAAAACCATTCAACACCGTGTACAATTAATTGTTGACCTTTTATAAAAGTTCAATAGCAACTCCAATGAGATATGTGCTATAGGCATGAATATCTAGCTGGTACAACTATAATAAACAGAAAATATAAACAAAATTCAGAATAGTAATGTTACCTTCGATCTCGGAAGCTAGGGGAATGGTATTCAGGTAGACGTAAGTGTTGCTGTTCCAATTTAAAAAAAGGGATATGCAAAAAGACAACCTACAAAATGAAAGGAAATATTTGCATACCATATATCTGAAGAGGGTCTAGTAGCCACAATATATAAAGAACTCTTACAGCTGAACAACAAAAACCCCAATTAAAAAATGGGCAGGCTGGGCATGGTGGTTCACGCCTGTAATCCCAGCACTCTGGGAGGTCAATGTGGGAGAATCGCTTGAGGTGAGGAGTTTGAGACCAGCCTGAGCAAGAGCAAGACCCCATCTCTACTAAAAATAGAAAAATTAGCTGGGTGTGGTGGCACATACCTATAGTCCCAGCTATTTGGGAGGCTGAAGCAGGAAGATCGCCTGAGCCCAGGAGTTGGAGGTTGCCGTGAGTGATGATGACACCACTGCACTCTAGCCTGGGCAGCAGAGCAAGACCCTGTCTCAAAGAAAGAAAAGAAAAGAAACAGGTAAAGGACTTAAATAGACATTTCACAAAAAAAAAGATATTCAAAGTGGGGCTCAGTGGCTCCAGCCTGTAATCCTAACTACTCAGGAGGATGAGGCAGGAGGATCATTTCAGGCCAGGAGTTCAAGACCAACCTGGGCAACATAGCGAGACCCCATCTCAAAAAAAAAAAAAAAAAAGACAACGGGCCAATAAGCACATGAAAAAATATTCAATATCATTAGTCATTAGGGAAATACAAATCAAAACCAAAATAAGAAACCACTTTATATCCAGCCACAAGGGTGAGTACAATAAGCAAGCGTTGGCAAAGATGTGGAAAATTTGAATAATCCATGTTCATTGCTGGTGGGAATCTTAATGGTTAATCACTGTGGAACACAGTTTGGTGATTCCTCAAAAAGTTAAACAGAGGCCGGGCACAGTGGCTCATGCCTGCATTTGTAACACTTTGGGAGGCTGAGATGGGAGGATCCCTTGAGCCCAGGAGTTCAGGACCAGCCTGGGCAACATAACACAAGACCTCCTCTCTACAAAAAATAGGAAAATTAGCAAAGCATAGTGGCATGGCTATAGTCCCAGCTTCTTTTTTTTTTTTTTTTTTTT